CCCCAAGCCCAAACATTACTTATTTCCTGAGCTGGTTCACAAATAGGGTCTGAACCATAACTTGTGGCAACCAATTGAACTTCAAACAGTTTCTTTACATTTTTGTATATGAACAGTTTCTTTACATTTTATTTTTGTATTTTCTGTTTATTCTATCTTAAGGATGTTATATAATACTTTCTCCAAATTTTTTACCCTTTAATTCAACTTATGATTCTGACAGTAGAAAGATATGGATGGTTTACTTTGCTTCATAGGGAGGCTGCCGGACAGGAATGGCGAAAGTTACCAATGCTTATGATCTTCCTGCTAGGTGGGTGATGTTGGGTTTTTTTATCAACTGTGTGCATTATTTATGAGTATGTTTATAACTGAATTCTTCGTTAGTTGATCTGCAATACCTTACCTTTACATATGCAACAACATTTGCGCTTAAATCCCAAACTAGGAGAAGTCGGCTATGTGAACACTCTATATTTATTCTACTCCATCTGAGCCTTGTTCCTTCCGGTACTCAATTATTTGTCTTATAGGACAAATCATGCAATTTTTTAAGGTTATCTGTTCTTTCAATCTCTCGTACATCCCTGCATTATCATACAATCTGAACCAAACTTAAAAGACTCCTGTCAAACACAGCACCCCATGTAAGTGCATCAATCAAAGCTAACCTAAATTTTAACTGGTTGGTATCACCTAGACGGATGTTTTCACTTTCATTGTATTCTTTTATTTGCTAAGTCAGCATGCATTCCAAGAAATTGTATTTTTGAGACAACTTTTCTCCATGTGATTTTTGGCCCCTTTTAATCCCTTCAACAATCATCGTATCACATCTATGGACGGGCATATTTGAAGATCTCTGTGGGAAATTTAGTTGTTTCCCTTGATATCCACTTTTCAAGTATACTCTCATAGTAGAAGCAAGAGAAGATAGAGGTGGAAACTGTGAACCTAGCTAACCTGGTCTTCAGAGGAATATCCTGCATACCATTCAGGGATATCCTGACCTTGTCTACTTCAGCGGAATCTTCATAATACGTAGTGTATGAGTTGGTTATGGAACTGTTATATGAAGCCAAGTTGCAATGATATCTGACATACTGATAAGAAATTTCATGATCACAAACAATGGGATCCTACTGGTGTTGGATAATCTAAATAAGCATCTGATTATGTGAAAATTTAAATAAATCTTCGATCATGTTTTTCGACGACATGGTTAGGAGGCAGTACTACCTATCTCAATTCAATGCCATTATGTCTTACCGTAATGTTTTTCCAGAGAAACTGATGAGAATGAAGTCATTGAGCTTCATATATCTTACTCTTGACACTTTTCAGATAGGAAAACTGGTGATATCACTTAACAATTTACTATTCAAATGGTGATGACTGGGTGTTGAGTAGTAGTAGTAATAATAGTTGCGTTCCTGTGTCACCCACCGTATTTAGCTACTAGTACATACAGTTAATTAAGGTACCCAAAAAGAAAAAGAAATATTTACTGTTCTCTTTCCCTTTGAACTTAGTTCATGATATTTAATCACAATTTTAGCATGGGAATAAATGCAGCATAATCATAAGCCTTTGACATACTTCTGATTGTGTTTCATGTGTAGGAGGGTCATTCACACTGTTGGTCCGAAGTATGCGGTAAAATACCACACTGCTGCCGAGAATGCTCTAAGTCATTGCTATCGCTCTTGCCTTGAACTTCTTATAGAAAATGGGCTACAGAGGTTGTTTAATGGCCATATATTCTGCGATTTACTATTAATTAATGCCGTGATTTTGTGTATTAAAAGGAAAAAGGGAGAGCCAGTCCATTGATTTCATTTTGATTTTAGGGTTTCAATAATTGAAAATGCAACTTACTATGTTGGGTTATGTGGTGCAGCATTGCTATGGGCTGTATATATACTGAAGCCAAAAATTATCCGCGAGAACCAGCTGCTCATGTTGCAATAAGTGAGAGATCCTCTCTGTTTTCTTAATCAAGTACTTACTTGTTTGTTTTGATTTTTAAGATAATTCTTTCTGTGATGAGACTGTAAACATCTATGATATCTCCATCAGAAAGATTCTTTAATGTGTCAACTATTTACTTAAATTTTTTATCTGCCACTTCTTAGACTCCATCATTTGTTGCTTCGCTTAGGAACTGTACGACGGTTTCTTGAGAAACAGAAAGATAAAATAGAGGCAGTCGTTTTTTGTACAACTACATCATCTGATACGGAGATATATAAAAGGTATACATTGTACATTGTTTTCTGCCATTATGCGTATATTGGCATTGCTGTTAAAATTCACAGTATCTTAACCTTTGCAGATTGCTTCCTCTGTACTTTCCTCGGGATAATCATGAGGAAGAAATTGCCCGTTTAAAACTTCCTGCAGATGTTGGGGATGAGAATGGAGAGACAACTACCGCGGAACGTAAAATTAGAATAAAACCGCTGCCAAATGCAAAAATTTCTAGTCCAAGGACCCCTGAAGCCTCTGTTGATCTGTCTGCCAGTAATGTTGGTTTGTCGAGAAGGTTAGTGACAGATTTAAGCAGTTCACCACACCATATATCATATGAACAGTGGGATTGCAGGATATTTCAGTTGAAATGTTAAAGTTGGTCAGAACTCAAATCTGGTTTCAGTGCTCATATCTACCCTATTTTTGAATCTATGCGTGCAACAGTAGGATGAAATTGACAAAAGAAATTATTATTTACGTAAAGAATAGCTCATCGTCGCCCGAAGCTTTTGTGTAGTCTTCTTATGATATCACTACCTTTTTACGTAAAGAATAGCCTTTTTATTATTTATTTATATATATATATATGTGTGTGTGTGTGTAAACCTGACTAACAAAGTTTTCTGAAGCAGGAGTTCATCTTACTTGGGTTTATTTTTGGATCCTGCTTTTATGTCCTTGATCAAAGACCCAGACCAGCGACGCAGAGAACAATGGGAAAAAACAGCCCAAGCGCAAAGTAGTTGGAATTGCTTTAAAATGCTTGGATATGGTGACCTTGGGGGGCCTCCTTTATCAGCTGCAGAAGAATATTCCCTTCATTCTAGATATCTTGCAAAAGCAAATTCTCTAAATCTTTCAGAAATTGCAGAAATGAAAATCGTGTAAGCAGATTTTGGTTAGATCATGTCTTCTGGTCCGTGGTTTTGTCAAATAAAGTAGAGTGTTTGGAGTCTCAGATATGCACTCGAATTGAGTGGAAGTAGGACGAGATCTGACTTTACTCGATTGCATGCAAATGTTTTGTTAAATTAACATGACTAATTTAGACAGAAAAAAAAAGTTTTCGTGAGTAATAGATAACTGAAGTATCATTCACATATCCATGAATAAGTGTTGCCTGGCTTATTCTAAACTTAAGTTGCTCATTGACTATGTTTTCAGTTACCGCGGAGGGGTTGATAGTGAGGGTCGTCCAGTTATGGTAGTCGTGGGAGCACATTTCCTGCTAAGATGCCTTGATCTTGAGAGATTTATTCTATACGTTGTAAAGGTAGTGATAGTTACTTCTGAAAATAGATTGCATGAGATCTATCCCTAGCAATTGTGTGATTCAATAATTAGTTTTGCTTCAAAAAAATTCCTGCATGATTTTGGCAGTAAATAGATATTCTACTTGTCACATTTCAGGAGTTCGAGCCTTTGATTCAGAAGCCTTACTCTATCGTGTATTTTCATTCGGCAGCATCTTTACAGATGTAAGTATTATCTTCTGGACCGTGTATTCATTGGCTCATGTCTGTGTGATTAGTATAAGTGAAACAATCAATAGTTTAAATTTGTCTCTCTCTGAGTAGAAAGATATAAGATCATCACTATCTCCAAAACATCTTGTATGAGCTCCGGATCAAATGTGTATGCATTGCCGGACATCAATGTTTTCCTTTTTCTTGTCATTTTGTTTTTAGGATCCATTTCTATAGCTCTCCGTGTCCATATGGTTTTTGACGTTGAGGATCAAGAAGCGTAAAACTTAGGGGCTTTTTTCCTTCTTCTTCTTCTTTTTTTTTTTTTCCTCTTACTTCAATCCCTGAGCTCCATGCGGCTGATTTACTGAAAGAATCCTTTTCTAAAGCTCATTAATAAAGCTTTTGTGATCTATTTTCCTTCGGCAACTCGGTTGTCTTTGAGCAAAGTCAGAGGGGAAGGTGATATGGAAACTGTGTTTCTCACTTTGATGGTGCTAAGCTTTTGCATTGTACTCCAAATTTGGCAATTCTTTTTCTGTTAAATAGATGATTCCGCATTCTGTTGTTTGTATCAAAACAGGCAACCTGATCTGGGATGGATGAAGAGATTACAACAAATACTTGGACGGAAACACCAGCGTAACCTTCATGTATGAATGCTTTCACCCTTTTTCTTGTGCTTTGCATGGTTCCGAAGCTGGACCTCACTCCACACTTTATTTTTTTTCCTTTTGGGTTGCTAAATCTCGTTTTTCTGTGAGCAGGCAATATATGTTCTTCACCCTACCTTTGGACTGAAGACTGCAATTTTTGCTTTGCAACTCTTTGTCGATAATGTGGTACTTATATACTTAGGACCTTTTCTTTTTTCCTTCGACTAATCCCATCAGCACTTGTATATAACTCAAACTTTCATTTTCTCTGAAAGCTTGTCACTTGTTACCTAATCTGCAGGTGTGGAAAAAAGTAGTATATCTTGATCGTCTCCTACAGCTATTCCGCCATGTTCCTCGTGAACAACTAACCATTCCAGATTTTGTGTTCCAGTTAAGTTATCATTTTGCTACCGTTTCATTTTTCACGCCAAAATGAACAAGGATTGAGTGCAACATGCCTTTACGTGATAGTATTAGACGTTGTCCATAGTTTTTTGCTCCTTTTTTTGGGTTTTGGGGGGGGGGGG